CTTCTCACTTCTCTTACTCATAGGTGTCTTTCTTTCTGCTATGCTTTTCTCTCTCTTCTCTCGCTCTCTTTGTTGGTTTCACTTTGTAAAAGAGAGAAAAAGAGAGCCACATAGCATCTCTATGACAGACACACAAATACACTTTTGTTAGTTGAGCCTCCTCTGTGAGTTCCTCATGCCTACAGATTGTTATCAGACGTGCCCACAAGGCCTCCCAAATATTTATTTAAATTCATCCTTTTCTGTAGAGAGGGTCATAGAATTTCTCTGACTTATAATATTATTTCAGGCAAAATATTATAATAATATTATCTGACCAATACTATTTTGCCTGATCGATACATGCCCCCTTTGCATTGTTTCACAGAAAAATGTAAGTTCCAGTCCTGTTCTTCATATTACCAGCTCACATTTGCTGTTCTCTATATTACCTGAATTTCATTTTAGGATTTTGTTGTTGTTCAGTTGCTAAGTTGTGCCTGATTCTCCATGATCCAATGGACCACAGTACACCAGCCTCCCCCCCCCCACTCCACTGTCTCCTGGAGTTTGCCCTAACCCATGCCCACCGTGTCAATGACATTATCTAACCATCTCATCCTTTGCAATTCCCTTTCCCCCCCCCTTCCATCTTTTCCAATATCGGGGTCTTTTCCAATGAGTCCTCTCTTCTCTTTGGTGGCCAAAGTATTTGAGCTTCAGCTTCAATATCTGTCCTTCCAAAGAACAGTCAGGGTTGATTTACTTTGATCTCCTTGCAGTCCAAGGAACTTTCCAGAGTCTTCTCCAACACCACAATTCAAAAACATCAATTCTTCAGTGCTCAGTCTTTGACTATATGGACTTCTGTCAGCAAGATGATATTCCTGCTTTTTAGTATGCTTCATTTTAGGATAATTTTTGCTAAACAGAAATAAACTACAGAAGAATTGCATGTCACCATTAGCTTTCATTGAGTCAAGCTTAATTTCATAAGGTGGCTGCAGATCTAGATTTACAGTGTCTCTAAATAGTATCATACAGTAGAGTAGATAAAAATCAATGTTATACAGAGAGAAAAAGAAACTGTTTAGAAAATTGGTTTAAACATTAAATGTTTCCTCCCATAATTAAAATATTTTTTTTAATGTAGGGCTTAGGCATCAGTATCAAATGAGGCTATAATACAACCACTCCTTTCCCGATTCCTCCATTTGAAGTTTTCTTATATAATTAAATACAATTAGCACAATCCTGTTTTCCACCCCCATTTCACAACCTCTTTCTTTTTTTCAACTAAGACCCGTGGTGGTGCAGTGGTTAGAATGCAGTATTGCAGACTAATTCTGCCAACTGCCAGCAGTTCAATTCTTACCAACTCAGGGTTGACTCAGCTTTCCAGCCTTCCAAGGTCCGTAAATGAGGACCTAGGTTGTTGGGGGCAATATGCTGACTCCGTAAACCGATTAGAGAGGGCTGTAAAGCACTGTGAAGCAGTATATAAGTCTAAGTGCTGTTGCTATCTAGCTAAGCTCTTTTTTTTCTTTTCTTGCATTGATTCTCTAGGTGACAGACCTAAATATAATTATTCTCTAGTTTCATTGAAGACTTATTTTGTGTCATTCTCCCTTCCTTGTGTAAGTCTGAAGCCTTATGGAGGGAATAATTCATAACAGAGTATTGCCTCAAGTCCTATATAGTATTTGAACCCTTTGTCATGTTTGTAGTTTCCCATAATTTAAATGATTTTAATGAATCTACAATTTGATCTAGACATTATCCTGGCAACTGCATTTGATATTTTCATTTCCATAATATGAATAGCGATTGAATGTAGGATATGAGGCTGGGGATGTGAGGGATGTTCTCCCTGATCCCTTGCACAAGCTCCCTGATCTTATGTACTTCATTATGAAAAAAGCTCCAATAGAAGCAGGGAAATGGGACTTCTGCTTATGCAGACTACAAATATGGGTCATTCTGAATTGGACTGGTGATCACAATAAAGATTAAAACTCTACAACTGAAGGCCATGAGTCTGTCCTGACACATTTGAGTAAGGGAGTAGAGATGACAAAGGTACAAAGTGCAAAGTGTGTATTCTGTTCAATTGTATCCAATTCTTGGAGGCTGCCTGGACAAATCCCTGCAGTTTTCCCAGCAAAGTTTGCTGTTACTTCCTTCCTAGGGCTGAGCTAGAGTGACTGGCCCAAGATGGCTCTGTGCCTAAGACAGGACTGGAACTCATGATCTCCTGGTTTCTAATCTGATGCTTTAACCACTATACCAAACTCACTCCCTCTCTCTCTCTCTGTATCTATATCTATATCAATAGATATAGATAATGCTTTTACTCCTGTTATAGACTTCTGAACACCAATTCCCTATGTTAAGTTCCCTTGCTAACATATGGGATTATTTACTATACCATTAGTATATTACAATCCTTTTTCCTAGCTTAGTGACCTTCAGATTTTGGGATAGGATGCTCCAAGTTGCATCCTAGCCAGCCATCACTCCTGTTGTGATGACTTTTTAACTCAACAGAATCTCAACCTTCCCTGACCACTTGTCTTCTTTTTCTCTTCTATTAGCTGTTTACTCCTCTCTCAAGTGTTTCTCTGCAAACCACATTATCTTATGCATTCACTCTAATGTTCTGATTATACAAGATTTGGATATCAGAGGATGATGCCATCATAGCCTACAAAATGACATCAGAGATGCCTGCTGACATTTAATTTGGTCATGTTGTTCTATTGCAAAATTTTGACACAATTAAAACCTATAACTTCCTTCCACCCGACCCCAAATAGTCACAATAGCTTTCTTATGATTTCATGAAACTTATGATTGAAGGCAGCTGTTCAGTAGGAGGAAGTGGAGGTGTAGAATCACAGCAATTTTATAAGCACAAACTACTATTTTAGTTGCACATTAATATGCCGACCCAAAAAGTTAAATTGAATCCGAAAGAAAAAAAGTAAAATGTAATGAGTTCTTGCCAAATAGCAATAGTATTTTTGTAATCAGATGTTCTTGAATTGCTTGAAAAAAGCTGCTATTAACATGTGCATCCTAGGCTCATCTCAGTATGATTTAGTTATATTTTTATTCATGGGTTATTTATAGTCTCTTGGACACAAGCCTGTTTTTTCATTCTTTGCCATAGGATATATCAAGTAAGTGGAAATTCCCTCACATTAATGGCCCTCTCTATCAGCTAAACCTTGAGAAGTGCTCTTATTCTCTAGATGAAAATTTGTTTCCAGGAAATGATTATTGCACTGAAAATCAGTGCTGTAATTATCCTGTATATAGTCAATTGCCACTCATACTTCCAAAAATTTGCAATGAAAAATATGCTTCCCTTTTCCTGAGCAATCGAAAGAGGAGGGAGTAACATGGAAGAAAAGAAAATATTAATAAACATGTTCTCTATGCCAGGGCTTTTCAACCTTTTCACCCATTGTACCACTTTTAGGATATGGCAACATCCGAGTACCACCAGTCGCCTAGCAAGGTGTCAAAAACTTGATGACAAAAAAAAAAAAAAAGGAAAAAGTGATAAAGTACAGGTAGTCCTCGACTTACAACAGCTCGCTTAGTGACTGTTTGAAGTTACAATGGCACTGAAAAAAGTGCCCCCCAAGCCACAGCCAAGCAAGACACCTGCCTGCCCACTCAGTGGCGCTCTTCCTCCTGTTCGAGGTTTTCATTGTTGTGAGCATTTCTGTTGAGGATTGGCAGCGGGGGTGAGGTGGGAGGATGTTTGGTTTTTATTCCCCCCATTTGCTGGGTGGTTGCAGCGGGTTTTGGTCACTTCACATGACCCTGGGACACTGTGATCATCATAAATATGAATCAGTTGCCAAGCATCTGAATGTAAATCACAAGACCCTGTAGATGCTGCAACATTCCAGCTGATCGGCGCTTCTTCTGGGTTCAGCAGAAGCGCCAGGATCAGCGCTGAGCTCCAGCTGGAGCCTGGCGCTGATCCTGGTACTTCCACTGAGCCCTGACAGCCCTGCAGCTCCAGCCTTGCTCAGGCTTGTGCGGTGCTGCCACCGGTTCAGCTCATTCCCCTCCCCCACTACCACTTTTCTAGGATGTGTACCACCTGCCAGGTGCCAATGTACCACAGGTGGTACCCATACCACTGGTTGAAAAGCCCTGTTCTATGCTGAGGAACAGATCCACACAGCAATAATGCCTACCTGAATAAAATGGCCCAAAAATGCAATTGGTTACAAACAGGCCAGTCTGGATACAACAATCTAATGTTGGATTTACCAGAATTAGTGTAGCAGAGAACCAGAGATTGAAATAATATATCTTCATGCTGTACACAACTGCACAGATCATCCTCTTACAAAATTATATAGTAGGAAGGTTAGTCCCTGGCCAGTTTTTAGTCTGGACAGAATTGGAAGACCTGAAAACTCTTTGAAATAACAAAGAATAGACTAGAACAGTAGAAAATAGAATAATAACTTTATTGTCACTTTGAATGTATACTAATCGGCATACATTAAAATGAAATTTTGTTGCCTACAGCTTTCAAAGGGTCACCACCTCTGATATAGATATATAGATATAGAACTACCTGTGGCATCACCCTTGTCCAAGTGTCTCTACCTGTCCAACCAAGTTGAGCAGAATGGGTAGGCTGCAGATCCCGTCAGTCAAAGAGGGTTAGCTGGTAGGGACCAGAAGATGGGTTTATTCCTCAGTGGTCCTTACTGTATGGAACATCCTCTCTTTGGAGAGCAGAATGCCCCCAACCCTGTTAGCATTTCGTAAGGTCTTAAAAACCTGGCCACTTTCCTGTGCCTGGGGTGCTGAAGGTGATAAGGCTGTATTTTTTAAAATGTTTTTAGTATTTTTAATTGTAATATGGTTTTTGAATAGTAAGTCGCCTAGAGTTATTAATTGTGATGGGCCACTATAAAAATTGAAAAACAAACAAACAAACAAATGTAATTTAATGACCAAATCATTTTGCTTTCCAAATAAACCAGGACTAGTTTAATTTGGATTCTCGGAGACATAGGATCAAGGTCTAGTTGGAATCAAGATCTACCCACAAGAGAGATATGTTATTGTATCGAGAAGATGGATAGAATATGTTCAGAAGAAATATGGAACTACAAAGTTTCATTTATTTTATGAGTAATGGATTTGTTTATAAAATTATGATGTTAAAGTTTGAAGAGAGTTAAGGGTTAGTATGATTTTGGTTATTGTATAATTAGTTAACTTAAATAGATTATGTTTAATATGTTTGTATAACCCTGTACTTAGCTCTGGGAAGTCGGGGGGGAGGGGGGAGGGGGTGGAGGGGGGCAGGGGGAGGGGGTGGGGGGAGGATGGGTTGGAGGTTAAATAGTTCAGATAAGTAGAAATAGTTTTATTGTATATAATATTGATGTTTTAATTTGGAGAGAGGAATTGCTCGGTCATTTCCCCTGGACTGCATCCGGAGTGAGAAGATAGGAGGAAGGGGAGAAGTAAGTAGGAAGGTTGAGGAGAAGGAGGAGAGGGGGAGAGTGAGGAAGAAGATGGAAAGAGGGAAGTGAGAGAAGAGGTTAGAGGGTAGATGCGGTTTGGGGGAAAATGGGTGAGCAATACTGAAAGTTGTGTGTATAAATTTATTTTATTTTTTATCTGAAGTATTTTTTATGAATGTAATGTAAAATTGAAAATAAAATTTTTTTACAAAAAAAAGATCTACCAATATGACACTCCGTTATCAGATGGAAGGCTATCATTTTTGTCTCAGAACATTGTTTTGCTAAAACATCTTTAAACTACCTGTCGCCAAAAAGGAAATCCACTGGATGAAATTCCTCTGCAGGCATCAGCTGAATTCTACTTCACTGTAGAATCTGGCTGGCTCAGGAATTCTGGGAGTCGAAGTCCACAGGTCATAAAGGGGCCATCGTTCTCCACCCCTGCTGTAGTCCATCACACCAACTCCTCCTCCAAAGGAACCATCACCTCTTCCCTCACTCCAGTTTCCCACTTGCTTATAGAACAGTGGTTCTCAACCTGTGGGTCGGGACCCCATTTGGGGTCGAACGACCATTTCACGGGGGTCGCCAAACAACGCAGTCCGCCATTTTCTTTCCCCTTTTCCTTAGCTGTGCTACTCCCTTTTATTCTATTGGCTTTTGAAAGCCAATAGAATAGACTCTCTTGAATAGAGTTTAATTCTATTGGCTTTCAAAAGCCAATAGGAATCGTCCAGGCTGTCTCTGCCCTGCTGAGCCCGCCAAAAGTCCCATTCTGCAAATGGTGCTGCACCAGTTGAGTAGTCCTCGACTTACGACCGGTTGAGTAGTCCTCAACTTACGACCGGTTGGGGGTCGCGGCATTAAAAAGGTTGAGAACCACTGTTATAGAAAGAGGAAGAGAAATGTGTATATGCATGTGCTTGTATTTTTCTGGGTGCGGAAGTGTGTGTGTGTGTGTGTGTGTCTGTGTGTGTGTGATATGTGTGATATATAAAGTGATTGATATTTAAGGCCAAGGGTAAGATGAATTTTGTAAGCCGGTTACCTTATTTTTAAGCAGTTAAATATACAAGTGCATTATATGCACATATTTGTTGTGGGTGGGAGAATCTCCAGGTTTAACATTCATCTGGAACTGACAAAATGAGGAAGCTATACACTGCACAGGATTTGAATCCTTCCCACCCTTCCCCCCCCCAATTGTTCTACGTCATCTTTCTTTTGGGTATATTTGGTATGTTTTAGAAGAAAAAGTGCTGATGGAGAAAAATACCTGTATACCTCCTCCCATCCATTTTATTTAATGGACCAGTTAAAACCCATCACTACTACTACCCTAGACCGATTCTTTACTTTCTCCACTCAACTGGGCATAAAACAGATCACAGCAGGAAGAAGAAAAGCATTACAGGACCTTGTTGTATAATTGTAACTGCAAACCAATATCAACTCACGTTGTAGCAATTCAAAGAAGCAAGAATAAACATTCAGTACCTTATTAATTCACTGCATGATAGCATTGTAACACCATTACAAATTCATTGCAATATAAGCAGAATCCAAATGATGCGAACTAAAGTTTATAGACAGCCAATTTGGAAGGCGGTTAAGGCACTGTGAGTTCTAGTCTTGCTATAGACACGAAGCCAGCTGGGTAACCTTAGGCCAGAGGTAGGCAACCGTGGCTCTTTTATGACTCATGGACTTCAACTCCCAGAACTCCTGGCTGGCTCAGGAGTTCTGGGAGTTGAAGTCCACGAGTCATAAAAGAGCCAAGGTTGCCTACCCTTGCCTTAGGCCAATCCCTCTCTCTCTTAGGCCTTGGAAGCAGGCAATGGCAGACCACTTTTGAAATCTTGTCAGGAAAACTGCAGGGACATGTCCAGGCAGTTGCCAGGAATCAACGCTGACTTGCAGACACAAATAAATAAAATAAAAAGTATTTTTTTTTGTAAAAATTTTTATTTTCAACTTTACAATACATAACAATCTTACAAATACTTCAGATAAAAAATAAAACAAATTGATACACACCACATTCGGTCTTGCCCGCCCATTTCCCCCAAACCGCATCCCACCTCAAACCAACTTACTTCTTCCCTCTTTTTCTTCACTCACCCCCTCTCCTCCTTCACCTCAACCTTCCTACTTACTTCTCACCTTCTTCTCCCTCTTGATGTGGTCCAGGGGAAATGCCCGAGCAGTTTCTCTCTCAAAATTAAAACATTAATATTATATACAATAAAACTATTTCTACTTTATCTGAACTACTTAAACTTCAACCCATCCACCCCCTCCCCCCACCCCCTCCCCCTGACTTCCCAGAGCAAAATACAGGATTATGCAAACATATTAAACATAATCTATTTAAGTTTACTAATTATACAATGAACAAAATCATAAAAACCCTTAACTCTCTTCAAACTTTGACATCATAAGTTTATAAACAAAATCATTATTCATAGAATAAGTGAAACTTTGTAGTTTCATACTTCTTCTAAACATATTCTATCCATCTTCTCCATACATTAAAATATCTCTCTTGTGAATGGTCCTTTAAATAAGCAGAAATTTTAGCCATTTCTGCTAAATTAGAAACCTTAAATACCCTTTCTTCTAAAGAAGGCAGAGTATCCTTCTTCCAATATTGACCCACCAGTAATCTTGCTGCTGTTATTAAATTCAACATTAAGATAGTTTCTTTAACATTAAAGTCCACGAAAATTCCCAAAAGAAACAAATAAAAAGTATTATAATAATGTAAGAATTTGGTTGCAGAGTGTACGGTTAACCAGAGAAACTGACATAATATCAGCTAATTATCTGTATTGATCTTTTTCAATCCCCGTAATGAACAACATGTATTAATTCCATGATTTTATAATTTTAGTTCTGAAAGTAGATAAAACCACAGGTTGTCAACACATGTCTCATGTTTACTACATGCTTATTATTGCTCAAATTCTGGTTTTCGTGTAAAGATGACCAATCTAAGTACATGTTTAGAAACCTGGGAGTATGATGTAGCAGAGTCACCAGAACTGATTACAATTATAGGGAAACTTCCAATTTCTAAAATGTTTTAAAGGGGGGGGGGATAAAGAACTGAAAGTGGATTTTTTTTTCATTACAAAGAATAGATTCAGGCTGTCCATTGGCTTGTATGTTGAATTATCTGACTTCTGCTAGGATATTGGGACTTCTAATTCTTCTTTATTACATCTTCTTCTCTATCTTTTTAAAAAATGCTTACAATTATGCTTTCCTTTTCTGATGTTGCTTAAAACACAGCTGTAGATCCTCATAAATATCATTTTTCTGTTGTTGTATACAGCACAATAACACAGTTGCTGTATACAGGGAGTCATAGAAGGAGCTACTAATTAATTTCTCCCCCAAAACTGGGGTCCTTACACCAACTAGACATGTTTGCATTTCCTATTTGCCCCATGTTTGCCCTTCTACTTTGGGAGAACAGGAAGGGACAAAATAGTAATCATCCTATCCTAGTCTTCTAGAAAGGGGTCCCCAACCCCCAGTCCATGGACTGGTACTGGGCCGCGACATGCCAGCAACTGGTCTGCACAAACAAGCAAAGCCCCATCCGTGGGATGCGGGCAGCACACAAAACCACGTACTCTCTGGTCCGTGGAATAACCTTTCTCCATGGAACCAGTCCCTGGTGCCCAAAGGTTTGTGGACCTCTGTTCCAGCAGGTAATCTCCAACCATTTTTGCTGGCTGTGAGTTAAAAGTAGTGTTTTCCTGCCTAAGTAGTGAGGTAAATAGAGCACTTGAGCCTATCTGCTGTGTTCATTCTGCTTTTGATAAAAGCATCTGGCGAGTGTGCTCATCACCCAGTCTCTGCTGTTTGCCTCAGTGGCCCTTCTGTACTAGGTTACTGAGTTACTGTCATAAAAGGTTGAAGGCTTTCTTTTTCTTTTAGCATCCCAGTGAAATGTTGGCCATGCCTTTGATTTCCCTTTCCCATTTTAATTGGGTGAAACTGAAAAGAGTTCCTCCAAGTTTCCCCTTATAGTCCATGTGACAGAAACAACTGTAATAATGAATGTGTTGTTGTTGTTGTTGTTGTTCTTTTTTTTTGTCAGAATCAATATGGGGGATAACCCCCCCTTGTTTTCCAAAACTGATTGCAATTGATAAGGTCTTCCAAATTTTTCCTGTTAGCCCAAGTGACAAAATGGGAAATCATAGCAACTTTTTATACCAATCCTGCAAACGCTTTTTGATGGAAGGAAAACAAATGGTAGTTAAATTCCTCCTATAGGTGAGAGGGGTAAAGAAGCAAGGGAATCCACCAATTGGGGATGGGGTGAGTTAACTATGGTCCAGAGAGAATAACATGACTTAATTTAACTGGTGAATTGGTTTATAAATCCATAAGTCTCCTGATTGATATTTATTCTTATCCATTCACTTGGGACTGATTGATACCAGCTGAAAAATACTATAAATGAACGTTGTATGTTCAGTGCTTGATCTTCTCTGAGACAGAGAAGATGTCAATGAGGAACTATCACCCAGAAAGCAAGCCTGAAAAGTGAATACTGTATGCTCTATTAGATAGGTGGTTTATTTATTTATTTTATCTGGTCACCCAA